GCGCATACTAAGCGCATTCCGTTATCTTTTATTATGCGCGCTGCCCAGGAATGGAATTTCCTGCTGTAGCGACTGTGTTTCCGAGCACATACAATCCGAATATCTTTAGTGTATGACTGAATAGGCATCGTCTGAGCGAGCTCGTTCCATCGTAGACCCTATCTCTGCTCTAGGACGAGGTATTGGTCATAATCAAATCCATTTACTAAAAGGGAAATCTACAATTATTGTGATTTCCATGTTTTGTGAAGAAATAAATGGTGGCAGCCTACACAAATGTCTGCCATTTTACTGATAATAGCTTGATAGTATTACAGATGCTTCAGCTATTCTACACAAGATGGCGTTACGTGTACTTTACGAGATTTTAATCGCTATGTTCTATTTTTTGCAGCTATTTAACACTAGATTATGGTATTCTTAAGCAGCTACTTAGCTGCGTAGGGGCAGAGAACAAATAAGTAATGAGAACGGACACTCTCCGCCCCGCACATTGACGGTCACATTGATTCGCGTTAGAATTGTCGCTATGTTGCCGCTCTGACCACGTAACGTAAATAGTACGAGCAAGTGATGGGTAACCCTGCCACTTCACGCACACATTCGCGCGTGTGCAGATAGCGCCTTGCTGTATGTAGTAGGTAAATAATTTTCGACCGTTGTATGGAGTGTCCGGGGTGTGGTAGGGGGCAAAGTTCATATCTTAATTTTGAATTGATGGGTGCAATTCACTAGGTCAATTTAAAAACAGCGCTCTGTAAGCTTATTTATTTCGCTTATTCATTAAATTTAGATTTAATTTTTTGTTTTTAGTCGTAACATTGTTTATTGAGTTCTTTGTCGAGTTTTATAATTTATCTTTACATTAAATTTGTATTGAATTGATATTCAATTATTTTTTGTGAAAATACTCTACTAGTTTGTTATAATTATTAGTGGCTAAAAAGTCGTTGGAAACCAAATACAAAGATCCGATAAACAAGCACATAGAAAAATTCGTGAAGTCCGCTGGTTCCTTCCGTGGCTTAGTTGGCATAGCGTCTGGCACGGTTTATTAGAAGACGTCGGTTCGAATCCGGCCGGACCTAAGGATTTTTTTCTAAGTGTTCGATCTTTCTATTAATTATCTTTCGATTTTTTAAACAAAAACACTGTCACACTTCGCTTGTCAGTATTTGTTCAGTGTATCATTGTTGTATCTATGTAATGGATAGATTAGTAATGTTTACTTCTTATTAAATTTTGTATACTACAGAGTCGATGTTTAAATGAGCAGCGCCCTCTCGCGGATCATTTTTCGTTCGTATTAGATAACTGAATCAGCCTATGAAACAGTTTTGAATAGGAATATGCTTTGTTTTATTTGTACTGAAATTTCTTATCGAGGGATACATAATTATGTATATGATTTGCCTTCCTTTTACATAACACCCTGTAGTTATGTTAGTGGTAAAATAGCGTCATAATTATGGCCCCAATTACGTGGGACAAATACGACAATCTACGATTGACATAATAAAGAAATAGAGCCCAAATTAGAAATAAAAAAAAGTTTAGTAATTAAGAATAAATGCCATCAGTACGGTGTAGGATAATGGATCATTTAGGTACGAACGAAGATGTCGTGCGGTGTCCCACAGGGGTGGGTGCTAGCTCCTGTGGAACATCGAATACGACTGGGTGCTGCGGGGAGATCTCCGGGAGCCAACTGCTACGCAGGTGACACGTTGGTGAAGGTGCGGGGTGAGATTAAAATAATTGAGATTATTGATTAATTCGAATAATTGAGTTGTAAGTAAGTAGTTATTAAACATATTATATTCACTCTAAAAAATCTGCATTGTAAGTGATATCTATATGTAAGCTTGTAGCTTTGACTATCTCTTGTTTTGCCTAGTCTGGCTAACATTTAAAAAAATATTGTTTGTGGATGTTAAGAAATAGCATTGACTTATTCGAAATATGTGTAATGGATGCCTGCACTGGGTAGTATTGGTTGGTACACACAATAGGTATTGTGATGACAATATGACAGATGCGTTGTAAAAAAAAAAAATTGCCGTTACATTTTATAAGGCGCGAATGGTAGCGAATTGTATCAATGTTTTGTAACAACGCACAGTTCTCAATTAAAACAGAAACAATAGTCTATAATAAGAAAAGACGCCAAAAACAATCGCATTTCAATTTAGAATTTAAATATAAAACTAAACTTAAAAAGGAATGGAACTATTTTTCCTTATTTAAATCGTGTATATTTATTTTTCAAGCAAACCGACGTTTCGGTCCCATTTACAAGTCCCATAGTCACGGTTGACACAACAACTTAAAAAAAGAACCGGAAAAATAGTTTCATTTCCTATGTGTAACAATCGCGAAAACCTAAGAACTCGATATAAACTTAAAAATACTATTTAAATTATATACAAAAGAGATTTATAGCGACTGCTGTGATTCGCTACACCTAACGTAGGTACGTTTTCTGTTATATAACACTAGGAAAAAGATAAACGATATGACAAACATGAATGATCTAGCTTTCCATTTAGTGCTAAAAATGTATAATCGCTTCAGCTCTGCAGTGTACGTGATTTAAAAAATACGAAAAATTCAGACGTCGAAACAGCTAGATTGGTTTATTTCAGATACTTTCAGAGTTTAATAACATAGGTACCGCATATTGCTCTGGGATAAAGCCGCCGATATTAACAGAATCTTTGTTCTGTAGAAACGTGCGGTTAGGGCAATTTACAATCTGGGTCCCAGAGTGTCTTTGAGAGATAAGTTTGGATACATTTTTACACTAACATCGCATTTACATTTATGAAAATGTTATTTATGTTAAGAAAAATATTAATTTTTTTAAGAAAAATAGTCGTAGATATAACATTAATATGAGGAAAAAATAAACTAGTCGTTCTTGACCATTTGACAGTCGCTTTCATAAAGTCTCAAATTCATTTAAAGGGCATTAATATTCAAAATTTGCAATTTACGTGGTTTAGAACTATAGTGAAATAAAAACTTCATATTAAAAGTTATTATATAGCTTCTGCGTGCCTCAATAATTGGTATATAAATCCGTGGTAATGACCCGTTTAGCTCTTGCAGGTAGTCTCGATTTAAGTTGTTTAAATTAAATCGTATAATAAATTAGTAGCCATTTAGATTGTTATTTGGCACAAGTTGTGTGTGTGTTGTTGTATTAGGGTCTGTCTGTTTGGCTGTCACAACAATGACCACTTCATCGGTCACGAGGTTGAGCAGTTTAGATTTAACATGATGAGGCTTTGATTCCCGGTGGACTTTTAAAATTGGTCTTTGTGAGGGTGTACTTGAAGAAAACCGCAGATGTGTATGTAATAGTTAATTGTTTATTTCCAAATGAACAACTGTTACAAGAACACTATTACCACAGTTACGAGGTAAGAGTTACAATGCGTTGTAATGGTGAACCTTTTACTTTTGTGAGAATAATTTAAACAGTGAATTTACAGGTGTTTCCAATGGTCCACCAATGTTATCTATATTCAAATTGTTGTTATCGATTATGGAAATTGGTTTTAAGCTTCCAGCTTTATCAACAGAATTGAGAGACTCAGCTGCAAGCGACGATGAAAGATTCTCAATTATTTTAGGACCGATTTCAGTAACGGGGGTAGCATTAGCGCCATCGACCAATGCTGAGATTCCGGAGTTAGCAGTGCACCTTCCAATCTTCAGGACGATTCTGGCTGTGCCGATTCCAGCATTAACGAGGCCTGTACCGGCGCAAAATTCTAAAGATGCTGGGAGCGTTGTTAAGAGTAAGTTCAGCCGACCTATCTGTGAACAAAATCCTTAATCAGTAGGTAATCATGATTGCGCCAAAGGCGAGTTCTTTTTTATGATAACCTAAAAATAATGAACACGTTAAGGACAAAGTCATAATCATCGACAATATCCTATCGCAGTGCACTGCTGGACACAGGCCTCTTTCAATGCGCGCTATTTCGCCCGGTCCTCTGCTTGTCGCATCCGTCTGCTGCCAGCAGCCCTTCGCCAATCGTCACTCCATCTGGCAGTCTTACACTATCTTTGCCGAGCAGTGATTGTCCCCACTCAAGAACTCGCTTCTCTCATCGGTTATCGATTCTTTGAAAGATATGGCCAGCCCACTGCCACTTCAGTTTGCTTATTCTACCAGCTATGTCGACGGCCTTGGTTTTCTGTCGAAGAACCTCATTCCGTACTTTATTCTTCAGTGAAACTCCGAAGAGAGAACGTAAACGGTTGAAATTGTAAAGTCTGAAATGTTTCCCATTAAAACTGTCAACGATAAAAAAGATTTTTGAATCTTGAGCCCGTCCCAATCTCTGCTCAGAACAGGAATGGACAAATAAAGGAAATTAGAACTTCTGAAATCATCAGATTTGTTATAACGGCTGCGGTAGAAATCTTATAAACTCTAAAACTTACCAACAATCCACTTTGCGCCAACAACCCAGCTCCCTTCAATTCTGACTGCAAAGCAACATTTCCGAGGCAAGCCCCAGCCGTGAAAATATTACTTTGTTGTTCAGTGCAGTTTCTCAATTCTTCAAAAGCCTGGCTTGCAAAGGTGCGTAGTTTGTCAGCGTTATCAGATAATTTATTAAGGAGTTCACCGGCTTCTGATAAGCGGTCCTCGCTACACGCCGTGGCCTTTTGTAAAGCCTCTGAAAACATTTGTTCTGCTTCTTCCTGCTGAGCCTGTAAAACAATCAGACAATTCTTAAAAATGTACGGGAATACACCTTTCTTGGCTGTTGATAAAGGCTATGTGCTTTTTAAACATAGGTATTAGTCACCCTTTAAGTAAGAAAGTTGATGGGAAAGTATTTTTTTTTTGATACCAAATGACGGGATGAATACAAGTCGTGCGCCTGGAGATAAGCGACACGGCCTGCCCATAGTAAAAGTTCCACTTTAAACCGCAAATATCTGAGGGGCATTGTCACTGCGCCCTTCATCCTGAGACGTAAGTTGACAAGTCCCATGGGCCTGTAATTTCACTAGCACCTTTAAAACCGGAACACAGTAATAAGTAATGGTAAGGAGGCAGTACTTCCCTGGACGAATTCTTTCACAAGGAGTTCTACTGCTACTAAACTACTTACGGTGACACATGCCGATGCAGCTTCTCCAAGTGATTTGATTGCATTCTCGATTCTCTTTCTCAGTTCATTCAAACTATTCTCGAGTCTCTGCTGGCTTCGCTTGACCTCGGCTCTAAGTCCGTCCCCAAAAGTTTTGACAGCATCCTTCGCCTCCTGAGCTGCCTTGTTCAAATTTGCTATTAATTCTTCAACCAATTGTCTGTAAGTTAAGCAGTTAATTCAAAAACAAATTGCATGTTGAAACTAATGCTGCCATTGCATGGAAAATGAAAATAGGTAAAAGTTTGAAAATCTAGATTTTCGTTCAGTGACAATATTGGTTTAACGTTCGAAATAATAGGAATTTATTTATAAGCCAAATTTTTTTAAAAGGTCATTTTAAGTAACTAGTACTCTCTTCAATTACTTTACATAAAAATATGTGTTAACTGCAATGGTTAACTGTTACGAACTTGAAAAATTAAAAGTGTGTCTGTTCGTTGAGTGCGTAAAACTTACCTCGTATTGGTTAAAAAGCCGTCAGCTTGGCGTTTTTGACGTACCAGGGAGGTTTGCTCTAAGTAGGCAGGACTTGCGTATGCGCCGCAAATCTGTAATTCAAAGATTCAAAATTGTGTAAAATACTGTTTAGGATTACATAACCCATTAAGTTACTAAACTTGTCTATGTATATCTATTTAATATATACACCGAAACAAAGAACATGTTGTCAAAGGTGATAATGTAATTTGTTTCAAAGTTTACTTCCATTAGGCATAAAGCTTGCAGCAACACGCATTTTTAATTATATTGTGATTGATTCGGTCTACCTTGTAAGTCATGTTTATCCAACAATCCCTTACTTCCCGGCTTTTGCAATAATGTACTAATAAATATAGGCAACCATACATACTATTATCACAAACAAAACAGCTTTTAATCTTTGGGATATGTGGAAAATGCGTGTTTAATTTTTTTTTAATTCGGAACAACCGAAATTTTTATGAAAGGAAACGTTTTAGAAATACTAACTATAATTAAAATTTGAATAAAAAGAATAAGATTTCAAAAATAAAATATTGGAATCCTAGAATTTGTTGAACGCCACGAAGCCATTTTCTTTGACAACAGATCTAAGAGAATAGTCACAATAGAATGACAAGTGACCTTACCACAGCCAACAGCAATAGCCCAGTTAGCGATTTCATTTTATATAACACTTTAGAACTCGCACTGATCGAAAATCTGCCATTTTCTCAGAAAATCTTAGGGTTTTATAGTGCTCTATGTAAACACGATGCAATCATATGTATTCTCCAATATTACCTAGGTAAATAACATTATCTTATCGCTCTAATAAAGTACGCGAGACAAATACTATAATCATAATCACGGACATTGGTTTATAGAACTACTTAATGTACGACGAGCCGGTTTCATCAACATTTTGTCATACTGGCGGCGTTACCTCACTGGATGGCAATAGACACCTGTTGAACCAACCAAAACCCAGAGCGGTGGTAGCAGCATCTGTCTCTGAGTCATCAACCCAGCTCTTTAAATGAGCACAGCGTGTTGATTTAAATAGGAATGGAACCGATCGGGTAGTCTCGAAATCAGATGGGTTTCTGAGTGAGAAGATGAACCTGATTCCTACTATATCTTTCTAATTTGTGAGTTAAATCGACTATTGTTCCGATTTGAAATGTCAAGTTTCCGATCGGCCAGTTGTGAACCGCAATTATGCGCCTCGACTCGGAAGAGACGCAGTTTCCAATCGTGAGAGGCAATCTAAATCAAGCTGGAGAAGCAAGCTTTCTCCAACTAGGTAGCGCCGTTCTTAGGAGTATGAAAAGTCCTTAATTGTACCTGATTGGTGACGCTATAATAAAAAAAAATTAAAAGGACCTTCGATAGCTCGTGGGGAGCTGCGGGATAGATGAGCTCGCAAATAAAAGGGATGGAAGCCGTGCTACCACCAACCTTTATGTCCGAAACGTCGTAGAGCTCGTCTTCTATCACACACTTCACTTGCCGCCGATCACCAATAACGCCACCATGTAATATATTGCGTACGCGGCTCAATGCCGGGCGGAGAAGCGGGATATTTAATTTAATAAAATAATGCGATGTCGCGGATGCGGATTTTTCAGTTCGAATGTAACGTCACACACTTATTTTTTTAATTTTTTTTTATGTGGCTGTGGCGTAGCACGGATTAGGACGGGAAAGGTAAGGAGGTGCGAGCTCAGACAAACTATACCTGGCGTTACGACTGATTATGATACCCGAAGGCCGTGATCGGTACTTAGTTCCAAAATTTTTACTACGGAAACAGATGTGAAATATTGGAAAAAGAATCAACTGTGGGTGTATTAAATATATAGCTAATCGATCCCAATACGTAATTCCATAACCATGAAATAAAAAATAATTCGTAATTAATTTAGTCGACATAAGTTAAATTGAATGCGACTATAACAAAATAAGTATAATTTGACTGCGCTCGGTCAGACATTAGGCATACAAATATACTGAAAGCGTCATTGACCTACCAACAAAATCATTGTTGGTAGGTAGGTCAATGGAAGGCGCACAATATAGGCATATTAACTGCTAAATAATAAACTAACAATATTATAAATAATTTTATGCAACAATTAAAATTTTATAAAAAAAAATTGAAGCGACGTACATTATTTATTATATATATATTACATTTTGATATTGGTAAGTAGAGTAAATAATATTGTAATAATATTGAGTAAGTAATAAATAGTAAAATTTAATTTTAAATTCTTTTTTTGAAAACCGTTCTGAGAAAGCCAAATGTGAAATGTGTCATTCATCTACTTATTCCACGACAAAGCGGAGAAATAAAAATAAAAATCACATCTTATCACCTATGTATATTGGCTATTGCAAATTGTCAAATGCGCACTTATATTTTATATAAAAAAAGACCAGACTGTAAACGTACTATAATGCATGTACGCATTTTTTTTTGATTGCCCAATTGAACGCCATTTTCATAATTTCATAACTTCTTTCGAATGGAAGTGATAATATTTTTTCCAAAAGTTGTTGTTCCAAGAGTCGGTAATGAAAAACGCTAAGAAAATTTGTAAATTTTCAAATTAATTAACCGGTTTATAATAACAATGTATTAATATCAAACTTAAATTTAAAATATATATAACAAAATAGAATGACTCAATATCTCCAAAATCGCTGTGAGTTCGACGCGGTACAGTTATTTGAAACGACGTTCTTTTTTGATTTCTTGATTTGATGGCTTCCATTATTTTACTTGCAGAAGGAATCTATAAAATAAATAAAAAAGCAATATTATCAACTGAAATATATATCGAAAAACTTCCGGTTTGATGCAAAATGGGCGATTTCCTAGTTGCGTGTAAATTTCTGATTTTAGTCATAGACTTTTGCAGTCGACTGCACGAGTAATTCAGAATAACGTCATTGTACTATCGGTGCAAATATTAAATAAGTGTGTACTAGGAATAATCTAATACAGATTATACAAAGACGTGTACATTGTAAAACCGTTTACTGTACTTTGGAATTATTTTGCATAATGACTTCCTTTATGTTGTAGTAAAAGAGCGTTGTGGTGTGAAAAATTTAGTGATCTTGGGGAATACTTCCATGGTTTGGTCAAGTCGGACAACTGCTTTCGGAATAAAAAAGGGCACAACTGTCGTATAAAGTACGCATAGTTGTGCCTTTTTTCGTTACGCACATTATAGTTAATGTAAATTAGGATCGAACTTCATTTAGGCACTTTTGCGAGACTATTCTCCTAAACTATAATATCCAAAATTTTGGCAAAATGAGACCAAGAATAATTAAAACATCTTACTAATTTCCTTTGTAACACTTTTCGTCTCTCAGGTATCTATATTCAGGTGAAATGTAGTAAGAGAGCCTTGTGGTGTGAAAGATTTTTAATAACAATAGAGCTTGTTGTGAATGAGTTTATCCAGGGAAGTATTGCTACCTAACCTTTTTTAATAATACCAAGCGACGGGACGAACAAGTCGTGCACCTGGTGGTAAGCAACTGGCTTGTCCATAACAGTTGCAGTGCCACTCAGAGCTTTAAATCGCAAAGATCTGAGGAGCACTAATACCACGCCCGTCACCCTTAGGTATAAGATGACAAGTCCCATGTGCCCGTAATTTCATCAGCACCCTCACCTCAGAAATAGGTAAGGTCGCAGTACTTCCCTGGACGAACTCTTTCACAAGGAAGTCCACTGCTACCCGGAAAGTCTTAACATTTACAAGTCCACACTGGTTTGTCTGGAGCATACCAGATAGAGTTTCATGGTGTCGGCCTATCCAAGTGGAAAACAGAGGTGGTGTGTATTTGTTTACTGTTCTGGGTAAAAGTACAGTGATGTTAATATTTAAGAATATTAATGTTGGACCCTGTTTAAGAGTTCGTGGTATGCGTAATAAACTGCTCTAAATTTTTTTGTTACTTTTTTAGTAACCGCTGGACTGTTGTTCGTAACATTTATAATGTCAGTTCATTTCACATTTCGTGGAATTACATCTATTTGCCAAGTTTTATTGAAGTCGGTTACCGGAAAGTGCCCGAAACCGGATTCATCCCGTAGTTTGCCACCCTTAGAGGTGGAATATTTTCTTCAAATGTAGGTAAATGGGACCAATACAGAGGTACCCTCTTTCCAACAAAAAACGAATCATACAAATCAGTTCACATATCGCGTAACATACATACAAAAAAAACACAGTCGAATTCAGAACCTCCTCCTTTTTTGAAAATTAAAAATAACTTATTATAAGTTAATATACTGTAACTTGATTTAAATGTCTATAGAAATGATTATAACCGTAACTTTTTTCTTAGGTTCTCGCAATTGCTGAACGAGGATGCAAAAACCTAAGACGTTGGTTTTAAAAAAAAAACATTTTAGTTCCAAAACATTTCATTTCAAGTCTATAACTTTCTATCTCATCCATAATTCGATTGATCTAAAAATATGTCATAGCTCTTGGATAATTACGACTGTGATTTCTGCAAATATGCGTAGACAAAAACATATTTTTCTGAGTTATTTTCCTTATTCACAAACTAATAAGTCTTTTGCAAATTAACACTCTTTGCATAACATTTTATTGTACGAAATTTTTTACCGAAAATTCTAGAGATTTTTTTTTGCCGAAAAACAATAAATTTTGTAAGAGATTATTTGCATTAAGTATTATTTATTTACACTCGTTGATAGCTCTGTTGCAATGTGATACAAGAGTTGTATTGCCATAGGAGCTCAAGGCTCGGTTGTTTATTACCAAACCGTTGTCTTAAAACAAATATATTTATCATTGTTTCTACTTTCTGGACTTTAGCAGTTAATTGGAATACCTATCAATTTGTAAAGGGATTAGTAGACATCCTTGATCTAGATTCTCGTTATTTTCCACCTATTGATTCTTGGAATGCTTATGCCTAAGAGTTTATACAATCTCAAATGGCTTTGGTTGTTTCTGCATAACAGTCAAAGTGTTGAATCAATCAATCACTTTAGAAAAAAATTGTAAAATTGAGAGTAGAGTTGCCAGCGTATCGGTATTCTACAGGATATATCACGGAGAGTGTTGGAGTTGCATAATTTGATTCCGTCTTCCCCTGTCCATCATCGGAGGACTAAACGTGGAGCTCTACAGCGACTGCAATGCAACTGTTATGGAGAGGCATGTCGCTGACCACCAGATGCACGACTTGCTCGTCCCATCATTTAGAATTTTAATAATCTCAGTACAGAGTACTAAAAAAACCGACCTCAAAAGTACGTGGAATTACGTCTATTTGCTAAGTTGACACAGGAGATAATAAAAATCGGTTCTCACTACTCAAAGTATATTGAGAGAGAAAAACGCTTTGAATTGGAGAATAGCAAAACCAACTAAAAACCAACAAAAAAAAAAAAAACCACCCCTATGTTTTGGATATTCCTCGCATTCACACCAAGCGTTTCGCTTCCACATTTGTATGGCGAGCGGGAGTGGAATTCCCTGCCTGCAGACTTGTACCCCGAACACTGTAACTTGGACCTTTTCAAGGCGAGAGTGAATAGGCATTATTTAGGCGCGCTTGCTACATCCTCGACCTCGAAAAAAAGTACTTTGCATACCAATGATTTTTTAAATATCATCTGAACATTAACAGAACACCT